ACATCACCCTGCTGCTTGCGCGGCACCACGCCGAGGATCATGTCCGGTCCGTCTCGACTCGCCGGCTGGCCGACCCGGCATGGCGTGATGACGACACCACCGTCGTCCTTTGGTTCTACACCACGATCGAGGGGGACCTCCTTGACATCGTCGCCCCCGCCGGCTCCTCCGCCTTCACCATCTGGACGCGGCTCCATGAGTACTTCCTCGCCAACGAAGCTGAACATGCTATGCATCTGGGCCAGGAGTTTCGGGCGTGCGTGCGCGGCGACCTCACCGTCCACGAGTACTGCCGTCGGCTGCAAGGCATCGCGGCCGCCCTCGCCGACGTCCGTGAGCCCGTCACAGATCGCACCCTCACCTTGCAGATGCTCGATGGGCTGGGGCCCAAGTTCGCGATGCAGTCGGCGATCCTTCAGTCCACCGTGCCACTTCCCACCTTCAACCAGGCGCGCGCCCGTCTCATCCTCGCCGAACTATCCATGGACAAACATGTCCGTGCTGAGGGGGCTCAGGTCCTCGCGGTGCAGCATGATGACCGCGGCCCCGCCGGCGACCGTGGTGGTGCGCGCGGTGGCGACCGCGGCGACCGAGGCGGAGATCGCGCCCCTGCTGGCGGTGGTGGTGGCCGTGGTGGCCAGCTCGGCACAAACCGCAGCCAGCGCGGTGGGCGCGGCCGCGGCCGCGGCCGTGGGCGTGATGATGCCCCTGCTGGAGTGGTGCGGGTGCTCAGCCGTGGCTAGGCTACTTTGCACCGATGGGCGCACCCTTCCCTCCGCTGCGCAGCCCGTGGATTCCGCCGAACTCCGCCGGTGTCCTCGGCCCCCGCCCCGGTGCGCCCACACAGGCCTACCCGCTGCTGTACCCGCCTACTCCGGCCCCTCCAGGCCCTGTCTACGGCGCACCTCCAACCAGCTGGGACGCCGCGGCCATGTACCACGCTGCCCCCAGCTACGGCACTGCCTTCCACCCCAACGCCGAGTGGATCATGGACACGGGCGCTGCATCCCACGTCACTGGCGATCCAGGTACCTTGACTTCATATCATCCCCTCTTAGCGCCTTCTACTCGTCATATCATTGTCGGCAATGGCTCTCGTCTACCCGTGCTCGCTGTTGTACTACTCATCTCCCACCCAAACCCTTTTATCTACGCCATATTCTTCTTTCCCCTAATATAGTCAAGAATCTTATTTCCGTTCGAAAGTTTACTCATGATAATTTGTGTTCCGTTGAATTTGACCCCCTTGGCTTTTCCGTGAAGGATCTAGCCACCAAGGAGGTACTTCTGAGGGTCAACAGTGATGGGGACTTGTATCCCTTCTCCGGAAATAATGGGCTTGCTCCCACTGCCGTCCTCACCATCTCCATGCACGACCTTTGGCATCGGCGGCTTGGACACCCCGGCTCCTCTACTTTTTCCCATTTTTCTCTAGATTTTCTTACCGCATGTAATAATGATGTCCGTCCTTCCCATCCATGTAGTGCGTGTCAAATGGGCAAACATACACGCCTGCCCTTTGCCACGTCCACCTCCTACACTACCACCCCCTTCCATTTAATACACTATGACATTTGGACATCTCCGGTTGTGAGTTATTCTTGCTACAAATATTATCTTGTTATTGTTGATGATTATAATCATTTTTCTTGGACTTTCCCGTTACGTACAAAATCTGAAACATGCGACACCCTCCTCCGTTTCTTTCAGTTTATTTTCACCCAATTTGGCGTGCTTATTAGGTGCGTGCAATGTGATAACGGCGGCGAATTCCTCACCACCTCCCTACGTGACTACTTCTCTAACAACAGTGTCTCTTTTCGTCTCACTTGTCCCCATACTTCTCCGCAAAACGGTAAAGCGGAACGCCACATCCATACGACGAATGACATAGTCCGTACCTTGCTCTTGCAAGCCGGCATGCCTCCTCCCTTTTGGGTTGAGGCGCTGCACACCGCCACCATCTTGCTCAACATCCGTCCCTCGCGCGCAATACATCACTTCACGCCTCACTTTATTCTCTATGGCGTCCACCCCACCTATGATCATCTCCAGACGTTCGGATGTCTCTATTTTCCCAACACATCCGCCACAGCCACACATAAACTCTCTCCCCGCTCCACCCGCTGCGTTTTTATTGGCTACCCGCGCAAACAGAAAGGATACAGGTGCTTCGATCTCGCCACTAGGAAAGTCATCATCTCGCGGCATGTTACCTTTGATGAAAATTCCTTTCCTTTTTCTGAGACCACAGGATCGGCGGACGCAGAAAATCCTCCCGCCGCCAAACCTGTCAGCCGCCCCATCCCCACCTCGTACCCATCCCACCTGTGCCCACCACCTGATTCCGCGCCCGCCACTCATGCACCGCCAACTGTCCCGGCGGCCCCCTCACACGCACTACCGACACGGTCTCCCGATCCCACCGCGGGGCCCAGTCCGCTAACCGCCAGCGCCCCGCATGCATGCAACGCCCCCACTCCCGGCCTCCCCTCGGGATCACGCCCGCGAACCCTACCCACTGCGGGACCTCCGCCCCTGACTCCCTCCACCCCGCGGGCCAGCCTCTCTTCCTCGATTGACGCGCGCGCCCATTTGTTTCCCACACCCACGCCGCCACGTCTGCCTGTGTCCCCCGCTCGCCCACCACTACCGCCCCATGCAGTCCCGATTTCACCACCTGCCAACCCACATCCAATGCGGACACGGGGCAAAACCGGTTATGCCATGCCCAAGAAAATTCTTGATCTTCATGTTAGTGACGCCCCCTCCCCTCTTCCGTCATCGTACCGTGCAGCACTTAAGGACCCAAACTGGCACGCCGCAATGCTTGATGAGTTTAACGCGCTAATTCGGAATGATACGTGGTCTTTGGTTCCTTGTCCTGCAGGTGTTAACATGGTGACCGGCAAGTGGATCTTTCGTCACAAGCTTCACCTCGACGGTACCTTGGCGCGGTACAAAGCTCGCTGGGTGGTGCGCGACTTCACACAGCAGCCGGGCGTCGACTATGGGGAGACATTTAGCCCCGTGGTCAAACCGGCGACTATACGGGTCGTTCTCAGCATCGCGACGGCCAACGCTTGGCCTATCCGCCAGATGGACGTCAAGAACACCTTTCTTCATGGCGACCTTGCCGAGACTGTCTATTGCGAGCAGCCCGCCGGCTTCGCGGATGCCTCATTTCCCATGCATGTTTGTCGACTCCACAAGTCCCTCTACGGGCTAAAGCAGGTGCCACGCACTTGGTTCCTTCGGTTCACCCGTTTCCTTCATTCACTTGGATTTGTGTCGTCCAAGTGTGACACGTCGCTCTTCATCTTGCGTCGTGGCACCTCTCTCGCGTACTTGCTCGTCTACGTCGATGACATCATCCTCACTGCCAGTACCACCGCTCTCCTCTAGTCGCTTGTCACCTCTCTCTCCAGTGAGTTTTCCATGAGTGACCTCGGTGACATCCATCACTTCCTCGGCATTAATGTCCATCGCTCCACCACTGGTCTTTTCCTATCGCAGGAACAATACGCTCTTGAGATATTGGACAGGGCTAACATGCTTAACTGCAAGCCCATCTCCACCCCCGTCGACACCTTTAGTAAGTTGTCTGGCACTAATGGGGTTCCCTATTCCGATCCCACACACTACCGCCGTCTTGCCGGTGCCCTACAGTATCTCACACTCACACGGCCGGATATCTCTTATGCCGTGCAGCAGCTCTGTCTCGTCATGCATGCTCCTTTGGATAGTCACTACCAGCTACTTAAGCGTGTCTTACGCTACATCTGGGGCACGACTCACTATGGGCTTCAGCTCTATCGCTCCTCACACGATCTCCTCGCGTACAGTGATGTTGATTGGGCCGGATGCCCTGACACTCGGCGATCTACCTCGGGCTTCTGTGTGTTTCTCGGCGCCAACATGGTCTCTTTCATCCAAGCGACAACACAAAGTGTCCCGCTGCAGCGCCGAGACCGAGTACCGTGCAGTTGCTAACTGTGTGGCCGAGTCGTGCTGGCTTCGGCAACTCCTCAGCGAGCTTCATCGTCCTCCTCGTCGCGCCACGCTCGTCTACTGTGATAAGGTGAGTGATGTGTACCTGTCCACCAACCCCGTCCAGCATCAGCGCACCAAGCATGTGGAGATTGACTTGCACTTTGTCCGTGACCGTGCGGCGCTCGGCGACGTCAAGGTGTTACACGTCCCGACTACATCACAGTTTGCCGATGTCTTCACCAAGGGCTTGTCGTCTTCAGCCTTTCATGACTTCCGC